GAGAAGGAGAGGACAAATTTATGTATTTGGCGGAGCATGCACCGAGGAAAGCCGGCATAGCATTGAAAATTCCATTTGCCCCAGTTCATAACACTGAAGCCTTACGTGACGCGCTAGTGTGCAAAGCCAGGGCCTAAGCAAGATGGATGTGGTGGTGCGTCAAACTCGCTCAGATTAATTTAGATTGTATATTACAGTTACTGACAAATGTTACCGATGCAACTGGTCAGTTGGAGCAGATGAAAGATGTGCTTCTCCGATTGTGTGCTAACTACCTCACTTCAAGAAGGCAAAACGGATTTGCACTCAACCCTGTTGGTATGTATAATGAGCTCTTTCTGTTGAAAAAGAATCCGTTGACTGGCTGGGCTCTTCCCATATCCAGGGTTTTTGTGTTACATATTTTTTCACGCATTAACATTTTGGGTTGCAGAATTGTTTTTTGCGAGATTTTTCATGGCTACCTTTTTGTCCTTCAACTTCTCTGCTGCCAGATTCTACTGCTAAATAGACATGCATGTCCGTATTTCCATCTGCCAGAAGTTCAAAGCGGATCACTTTGCATGCCTTCCACCAACAAGGAAAGGCTGTCTTCTGATGCAATTCCTATTCGGCGATAAAACTCATGGTGTTGATTGGCACGACCGCCTTGCTTACGTTTTAGCCCTTGCGGTGCTCAAGAAGAAGGAGCAGTCGGAGGCTATCTTAAAATCGTCACTCTTATCACTGGCGTAGAGATTGGAGAAATCCAACCGAATTCTTGAGTAGTCCCAAGGGCCCTATTTGTGTACCTCCACTCGTTTTCCCGTAACTTCGTGCGTAGGTTATGGTTCTCGCGCCGCAACTTCCTTAGCGATTTCTTATTATGTTTACGCAGGATGTAGAGAGAGCACTACACATGGTAACTTATGACCGGACCACGCGTACTTCAAGTCCAGAATTATACAAGAAGAGAGCCACGCTCTGGCATTTTTATGATTTTCTACTGAACCACAATACGGTCGAAGCAGGGTCAACAGTCCGTTATTTCAGTTCCAGGGATTTTACGACTCTCTTTTCTCGAGGGGGTTTCGATACTACAACTTCCCACCATCATCATATAGTTAGGGGACGGGTCCCCAGTATCGACCACCATCCTCACCAACAGGAGATTTCTATGGCATTTGTTTCTGAGACCAGTCTATACACTCAAAACATTCCTTGATCAACAGCTCTAGATTCTTCAAATTGCCGTCAGAAGGCCTCACTGACTTTACTTTTGTTTTCTTTCCCCTTGGAATTCACCAAACTATCCAAACTATCCAGGCTCAAAAGTACCTAATGAAATCAACCAATGGGACGCAACTGCGCCAACCATATCAGACCGTCGCTGGAGAATGGCAATCGGCTATTCTCCAGCGACGGCTTCTGTCTTTTACGTTACCAGGTCAAGGAGTGGTTTCTGCGAGCCAGTGAACGCACGATCTGAAATGTAGAGCGCAGCCTTTCTGAAAACTGTAACGGGATACGAGAGATTGAAAAAATCATGATTAATTACTTCGATATTCTTTAACAATTTGTACATCGCTGAATAGGACTCAGAACAATGAAGCCAGCTCACTGCGGAAATATGTATGTAGGTGAGATGAATATAACCCATTCTATAATATATTGCTTCAGTGGAAGTACCCTGACTGTTCTCACTCATGTCCCGCTATTTTTGCGTTTCAACTATTCTATTCGCTATAAATTAATTAGTAATGTGTATAATAAGTACAGTACTCGCCGTTTGAAATCGAAAATTCACGCGAATAACGCGAATCCTCGTTAATTTCGTGAATTC